ATGTATGAGATGAGGCCGGAGGCCAATGACATGTGTATTGTATTCTATACAACTTTTTAACTTCATGAAATATTATGAAAACCTTAAAAAATCGCAAGTCATTGTTTCACCATGGTTGCATCGGGTGTGGGAATTCCATTTTCATTCTTTCATAGGGTCTTATTAATCTTGTATGAAGTGTGGCCAAGGGCCAAACGGTCATTTGACTCCATTTTACATTTTTGGATTCCATGCTCTCCATTCTAAGTCCATTTTTGCCTTTTTGCCCGTTGGGGGGTTGGATTTTGTATCGGCTATATTTTTAAGCCATGGACCATTGTAACGCATTTAAATAGGTAAGTTACGGTTGCGTGCATGGTTGTTTCCGGGCAAAACTTTATCGTTTGTGTTTTGAGCTTCTTGTTAATTCATTTCGCATTTTTTTTGCATATTCTGATCTAGGGGCATTATGGACCTTTCACATCAGTTTTATTTTCTTCTTTTGACATGGTTGAATAGAAAACATGATTTTAGGGGGGGTTTCTTCTTCGTGTTTTTCCAGAAAATATCGTTTTGGTACCGGAAATCCCTCGTGAAGTTTCAGCTTCCAGTTTTCATTTAGCAGCTTTATGACCCTCTTGTTCAGTTCTGATCTAGGGGCATTTTCGGGATTTCACAGTGAGTTTTTTTTTATTCCGTTCGTGCAGTCAGGTAGAAAACTCGATTTTAGGGGGGGTTTCTTCTTCGTGTTTTTCCAGAAAAACTCGTCTTGATCTCCGTTTCAAGCCTCAATTCTGGGTAGATCAAAAAAAATATATAGCAGTAGCCAAGGGCTGCCACCAGCCATGTCCTTGGGCGCTGGCGTGCACGCCGGTGGGCTCACGCATAGGCGCCGTGTGCGCCATGACCCCTCGTCGGGCCGCCGCGACGTCAATTCTTCTTTTGGGCTTTTCTCCTTCGTCCGGACTCCGATTCAAGTGAATTTTTTTTTTAACTTGACTAATTTTTCGCTGTCTTTCCAACAGTGTGCTCGGTTGCACCCAGTTCTTCCTGAATAATTACCATTTTACCCTTTTTACTTTAAGTGCTCGTTTTTCTTCGTCATGCCGTTTCTCCTTCGTTCGGACTCCGAATCATGCGATTCTTGAGTCCATCTTGATTAGTTTTTCGTTTTCCTTCCAGCGGTGTGCTCAGTGGCACCCGAATCTACAGTTTTCAAAAATGACTATTTTGCCCCTGGGGGCTTATTTGTCATATTTTTGATCTTTTGCTTCCGCATTAGTTCTTGTTGAGTTCCACGACCTCATGGAAGGTCACTTTGACTTCTTAGAGTCTTGTTTTTTGTTTTCGCTTCTGCATTCGGATCCGTTATCGGATCATCCTTACGGTTCATCGCAGGACACGCTGGCCTAAAAAACCAGGGTCGTCACAAATAAATATGTGGAGTCAAACATATTTGGTATAATTAAAGGTAATTGAATGAAATCATATTCCTAAAGATGGCATATATATTTTTGTTGGAGTACTATTGACAACAGAAACCTTGGCTTGGTCGATAAAGTCTCTTGTTTGATATACCGGGCTGAAGTGGTCTCGGTCCACTCGGAAATTCCCAATCCGGGGACGAACCTTGATTCCATTTCATCTATATTTAACTTGTTAAAATCATCTTTAATAACTTCAACTTTTGTTATTATTTTTATTTTTTTATAAGAAGCACATGCAATCACACACACTTTTCGTCCACCGCATTCTCTCTTCTTCAAAGATGAAGAGTTTATAACATTAGGATGCATAACATTTAGTCTCAACCCATGTTGGTTTTGTTCACCCTTTCGTCTCTTTTATTTTATTATAACTAGTTGTCCTCAGTTGATCAATGATCTTTAAATATTTGAAGAATGTCTTCAAACCATCTGTTTATTATCTTAAATTTCCTCATTATTAAATGTCCCATCTAAATTTCCTCTTACACTTTTTTTTTTTTTTTTTTTAAACAAACAAACCATATTATTCCGATGGAGAAAATATACATTCAGGGAGAAGAGTATCTAACAGCCACTAGGGCCAAATACTCCACTCAAAATCACTACATTCGGCTACTAAAGCCTTTTTACTCAACAAGTGGGCAACTACATTTCCTTGACGAGGAACCCACACTAGAGAGGATCCCAAACAAACCTTGAGAAGAGACATTACATCATGAAAAACAATCATTAAAGGTTCAATAGAAGCCTGCAAATTCATAACAGATTGAGAATCCCCCTCAACAACAACATTCTGATATCCCCAGCTATGAAGAAATAGCAAAGACTCATGAAGAATCAAAGCTTCAGCTAGCAATGGACCACTAACATTTTCCAAAAAAATTGAAGCAATTTTGATGGGATGACCAAGATGATTTCTAAGAATCAGACCACCTCCACAAACCTTCTAGAAAGGATTAAAGGCAGCATCAAAGTTAAGCTTAAGAAAACCCACCTTCGGCACAGACCATATTTTTAACAAAGGAACAGGAGGAGGATAAGAAGGAGAAAGCAAGACCTGTTGTGTAGAAATTGCATGAAATTCCTGATAGTCAGTAAATGCTCTTTGTGCCGCATCGAATGGATCCTAATGTTTCTGATTGAAGACAAGTTCATTTTGACACTTCCAAATTGTCCAACAAATAAAAGCTGCCATGCTACAACAATCCAAAGGGGCCTCAGTCAAATTCCAGCCAGCACAAAGATCAACCCAACGCTTTGGCCAAAGGGAAGGAGAAAGATCACTAAAGTCCATCCGAAGAGGACTTAGCTTCCAAACCAGATAAGCGAATGGGTAGATACATAAAAGATGATCAACCGTCTCGACGGAACAATCACAAAAAAGGCAAGAAGAAACTGTTGAACTCCCGCGCAAAAAAAGAGTGTTGTTTACTGGGATTCGGTCATGAAGACATTGCCACAAAAATAATTGGATTTTCGTATAAGCACGAATCGGCCACACTTGCTTCCACATGTTATTTTTGTTGGCATCAAAGCTACACCCAACATCTGGAACTAGACTGGACTTGATGTTAAGGACTGATAAAGCAACATAATAAGGACTCTTAACGAAAAACTTTCCATTTGAAGAAGCGCCCCATACCTTACAATCAGGACCGACAAAAGAACTTAAAGGCATCTGAAGAATAAGTTTACGGTCCCGTTGATTGAAAAAGTGGCACACCTTAGCAGTATTCCACTTGTGGGTGGAATGGTTTATAAGCTCAGCCACTAAAGAAATTTTGGTGGCAGAAGGCTTGGATGTGACAAAAAAATTAGAAGTCGCAGAAAGCCAATTATCCATCCAACATTTAATTGACAAACCATCACCAATACGCCATTTCATACCTCTCAAAATAACCTCCCGAGCTGAAAGAATACTCTGCCAGACACAGGAAGATCCAGTCTTCTGAAAGGCATCCTCAAAATTACAATTGCTGAAATACTTCCTTTTGAAAGAGGGAAATAACAAGGAATCATCTCCAATTTCCATTCGCCATGCAAGTTTCGCAAGAAGAGCCATATTGTAAGCTTCAAGATTTTTGAAACCTAAACCCCCATTATCTTTAGAAAGGCACAGGGTGTCCCAGCTAATCCAATTAATTTTATGAGATTTCTCTTCTCCACTCCACCAAAAGTTGCGCAAACTACTGGTCAACTTTTCACAAATCTTCTTTGGGAGTTTAAAACAGTGCATTGAGAAAGTTGGGATAGCAGAAAGGACCACCTTCACCATCACTTCCCTCCCAGCTTTAGAGAGCAAGTTGCCTTTGAGCATCTTGGTTTTAGAGGAAACCCTCTCACATAGGAAATTAAACGCAGCAACTTTAGATCTACCCAAAAATGAAAGAAGACCAAGGTATCGATTGCACCAATCCACATTATAAATACCCACAGTCTGACTGCAATAAGATTTTTGGACTGAGGAAGAGTTGGGAGAAAAAAACAAGCAGGATTTGTCCAAGTTAATAAGTTGTCCAGTTAAGGCCGCATACCGATCAAGTATAGTCTTGACATTACGAACATCAGGATCCTTCGCCTTACAAAACAAGAGAACATCATCCGCAAAAAGTAGATGGGAGATGGGAGGGTAACCCTTGCCCATTTTAAGACCGTGAAGTTTTTTCCGGTGCTCATACTCCTGAAACAACATGGATAAACCCTCGATACAAAGAAGAAACAAATAAGGAGAAATGAAATCACCTTGACGAAGCCCTCTCGAAGGATAAAAGTTGTTGCCCCATTCCCCATTTATCAAGACTGAGTAAGACACTGTACTGATGCATTCCATCATCAAATCCACCCATCGTTGATCGAATCCCAAATGACTTATAAATTTACAAAAGAAACAACCAATTAACCCGATCATAAATTTATGAGTTGGCTAGTATTAGGTGACTGAACTTGACTTGCCTCAATTTTTCCACTTAATCTATTGTCCTAAGCACATTAAGATTCTTCAAAAAAGTAAAGATAAAAAGTATAAAAAAAAATGTGTACCCACTCAAAAGACAAATTAATAAAGTTGCTTCTTTTGTAGAAAAGTAAATTGGCAAAGACTTGGACTTTACTTTCCCTATTCTCCATTGGCGACTTTACTTTCCCTATTCTCTTTTGGCTGGCGTGTATCACGCGTCACCAGTTCAACTATTCACCTTAAGACACTAATTTTTTTCAACGGATGCCTTTTTTACTTTTTGAATGTGTTCCTATTCTCACACTTGGTACATGCTCTAACTTTCATTTTCACGCTAAGGGCAAATAATGGTGTTGTCATAAGCTTAATAAACCGAATAAATTAAAGATGCAATGCCTCGAATGGATGTTATGTACCATGAATACGTGCACACACACGCCCATCCCAACCCACACAACTCAACTCACGCCAAAACCATCAAGACAACTCGGCCGAGGTGACTCCGAGCGACGACGAAGGAAAATTGGCTAATAATTCATGGCAATAACGAACTTTGCACTTTTTTTATCATTCTAATCGTTATATATATTATACCAATTATTTGATGGCCGGCAGCACCCAACCTACCACACTTTCATTATTCTACTCATAATATACGCGCGCGCACAATCTTCCATGGCAATAGCAGTGATCAATAAAGTTTCAATGTTGGCGGAAAATCAGCCATAGTCTTTATACGAGTCTTTTTATCTTCTACTTTCTGGCCCACCCATTCTCGATGGAACTTTAACAATAGTTGGGCTGCTCTTTCTCTCCTTTCCCTTAGCTGTGAGAGATAAAATCTCTTTGATTCTGTTCACGGCACCAAAAAAAAATCATGTACCATTCTTATCTTAGAATCATCAGCACCGTGTATGTCGTCCACCATCTTTTATTTACCGGAGCCGGTGACTGGCCTGTCTCTGTCCAATATTACCCAACAGATGACATCGCCATTAACTGCGGTTCCACTGGTAATTTGTCTGCTTTTGATGGCCGGGAATGGATCGGAGATATGGGTTCGAAATTTATTTCACAAGAGGAAGCAAAAGGGAAATCAGTAAGCTCATCAACTACTGTCCACCAATCACTTTTTGCGGATCCTGTTCCCTACATGACCGCTCGTATCTCTCGAGCTCAATTCAAATACACATTTCAACTCAGTCCTGGTCAAAAATTCATTCGCCTGCACTTCTTTCCAGCTTTATACTCTGGTTTTGAAAGATCCAAGGCCCTTTTCACTGTTAAAGCAGGTCCGTACACCCTCCTTAGCAACTTTAGTGCTTCCCTTACTGCTGATGTTTTGGGTGTAAGACATTTTGCAAAAGAATTTTGTGTCAACATTGAAAAAAATGAAGTATTCAGCATAGTATTCTCTCCATCTAAAAGTAGTGCAAGTGATGATGTTTATGCTTTTGTCAACGGAATTGAGATCGTTTCCATGCCCGCTGGTCTTTATTACACGCTGGATGGTGATTTTGGCCCTCATGTGGTTGGCAACAAGTTTTTTCCATACAGTATTGATAACGGCACTGCACTAGAGACAGTTTACCGCTTAAATGTTGGAGGGAGATCCATTCTGCCGGTAGAAGATTTGGGCATGTTTCGTATGTGGTTTGATGACAAGAATTACTTGTTACAATCAAGTCTTTTACGAGTTAGTACCCGCAATATGATCACATACACAAACATACCCACATATGCCGCGCCGAATAAAGTTTATCAAACAACTTGGTCAATAATTTCGAATCAACCAACGAACCAAGTTTACAACTTATCATGGAAATTACCAATTGATTTGGGATTCAGATATCTGGTTAGGCTCCATTTTTGTGAGCTTGAACCCATGATTACTAGCAGCGAAAAACAGTTTGATCTTATGATAAACAACAAGATCGTTGAGACTGATGCAAATGTGATCAAATGGAGTGGTGGAAATGGGGTTGCAGTGTACAAGGACTATGTGGCCACGATGGAAGGAGACCGGATGGAGGGTAGGCGTGATCTAATCATAGCTTTGCTGCTCAAGTATGAGTCAAACACCAGAAACATTGATGCAATCCTAAAAGGTGTAGAAGTATTTAAGTTGAGCAATCTTGACAATAATCTTGCAGGCGTAAATCCTGTTTTCACATCACATGTTCCGAAATCAGGGACTCCAACACTCCGAAAAATAGTTTTAGCTTTTGGCAGTATAAATTCAACTGCAACAGCTATAATTCTTGCACTCACTCTATTGAATTTCATTGTTTACCATTTAAATCGTCTGGAATCAAACTCTAGCAAAATAAACATCTTATCATCATTGGATGAGGAGGAGTTGCACAGACGCTTCTCAGTTGTTGAGATCCTGTTGGCCACCAACAACTTTGATGTTGAACGAGTCATTGGTAGAGGTGGATTTGGTAATGTGTACAAAGGGTTCATTGACCGGACCAGGTGTGTTGCTATAAAGCGGTTGAATTCGCAATCCAAGCAAGGGGCTCAAGAGTTTTGGGCTGAGATCGACACCCTTTCCAAGCTTCGACACGATCATCTCGTCCCTTTGATTGGCTATTGTGATGATTGTCAGGAGATGATCCTGGTCTATGAGTACATGGCCAATGGGACCCTTGCTGACCATCTTCACAAAGGGAGTAGAAATGGCCGTGATAACTCTACTCTTTCTTGGGAACAACGACTCAATATTTGTATTGGTGCTGCACGTGGGTTGGACTTCCTCCATACGGGTAGAGGTGCCCACAAAGGAATCATACATCGTGATGTGAAGAGCTCAAACATTCTGTTGGATGAAAATTGGGTTGCTAAGATTTCTGATTTTGGGTTGTCGAAAATGGATACTGGAACCGTATCGCGCACGCACATTAGCACCAATGTTAAAGGCACATTCGGGTATTTGGATCCAGAATATTTCATGGCTCAAAGACTATCTAAGAAATCAGACGTATATGCATTTGGTGTGGTATTGTTCGAAGCGTTGTGCGGGAGGAAGGCTGTGGATTTAACACTCGAGGAGGAGCAGCATAGTCTATCAGTATGGGTCCGGCAATGCATTCGAAAAGGAACAATTGATCTGCTCGTTGATCCCAGTGTGATGGAGCAAATCTCACCTCATTGTTTAAGAAGGTTTGTGGAAATTGCCAACAAATGCTTGCATGATCAACCAAATGAAAGGCCTACAATGGCAGAAATAGTGGTGAGACTCCATTCAATTATATTGGAATTGCAAGGGAGGGCCGACTCTTGCACAGAGCAAGAGGTTATTGATGTTGGTAGAGCTTCCGACGAGCGTGTTGAATCGAGTATTACATTGGAATTGCAAGGCAGGGCCGACTCTTACACAGAGCAGGAGGTAATTGATGCTGGTAGAGCTTCCAACGAGCATGTTGAATTGAGTATTACATCGGAGGATTCTCCTCATGTGGTTGTAAAAAATGGAAGCAGGGTGTTGGAGAGTATTTCACCTGGAACAAAGAAAAATATGAAAGTTGGGAAAAAGAAAGATTTTGCTTTTAATCACCGATGGTGGTTGGGCTCACTTTGGCCGTTCCATAGATCTTCGAAGACCAAAGCTTATCCACCGCTAGAAGTATATTGTGGTGTCTTTTCACTGAAAGAGATTGGAGTATTTAAGGTACCGTTTGCTGAAATAGGCTATGCAACAAATAATTTCAGCACCAAGGTGATGATTGGAGAGAATAGGTATGGGAAAATCTATAAAGGAACTCTTAGGAATGGTATGAAAGTTGCTGTCATACGAAGTCTTCGAGGCCACCCTCAGGGATTTTCAGAATTCCAAACGGAGATCATGGTATCGTCCAAAGTCCGCCATTGCCATCTTGTTTCCTTGATCGGGTACTGTGATGAAGGGTCTGAGATGATACTAGTTTATGAATTCATGGAGAAAGGGAGTTTGAGAGATCACCTATACAACAATATTAATGATGACTTAGGATCTGAATTGCCCTGGATTAGGAGGCTTGAAATTTGCATTGGTGCAGCCAAGGGTCTTGATTACCTTCATACTGGTGCAGAGGGGGCAATTATTCACGGTGACGTTAAGTCCACAAACATCTTGCTTGATGAAGATTATGTAGCTAAAGTTGCTGATTTCAGTCTTTCCCGTTATGCTCCTCTTGATCAAACACATGTCAGCACCATTGTAAAAGGCGCCTTTGGTTATCTTGATCCCGAATATTATATAAGTCAACAGTTGACACCGAAATCGGATGTGTATTCCTTTGGGGTGGTTCTTCTTGAAGTGCTTTGTGCAAGGCCAGCCATTAATAACTCGTTAACACGGGATCAGGTAAACTTGGCCCAATGGGGGATGTCTTGGCAAATGAAGGGGCAGCTTGAAAAAATCATTGATCCAAAGCTTGTCGGTAAAATCAATCCCAACTCATTGAAAAAATTTGGTGAAACAGCAGAGAAGTGCTTGAAAGACTATGGTGCTTACAGGCCCACTATGGATGTAGTATTGTGGGATTTAGAATATGCACTGCAGCTTCAACAAACTGCAACATTCGGAGAGCCCCACGAGGACAGCACAATAGATGATGCTTCAGGGGTGTTGCCATTTCCTCTTTTCCAGCGGTTTCCTTCTCAAAGCAGCATCACAAGTGAAGAATCCACAAATGGCAGTGAAGTGTTCTCACAATTGAATATTGATGATGATGCCAAATAATCTGATGGTTTGAGGTACAGTTTTTGGTTTTACTCAGCTTTGTTTGTTTCTCTTGGACCTGCAAACATTAATTATATGCTGTTTAGAGAAGTGGTAACAAAATTTAGTTGAAGTTACACTCGGTGCTTACACAAGTGCCAAAATAAAACTTTCAAACGTTGCAAATTGGAGTATTTTTCAACATGTCTAGTCTTTTTAATTTTGAATTAATTTCATTGACACTCTTGGGTCAAATTTTGGAGATTACTTTTGAAAATAATCATCACTCCCACCTCATGTCAGTTTTTCGTTAAAATGGTGTGAAATGTTATTTTTACCCATATTTTGTAATACCTTTTAATAATAAAAATATCAAAAATTTAAAAAGACAAAAATGCTCCCAAAATTCTTAGTTATCTTTTAGTTTTTGGAATGTCCCAAAATACAAGTTTCTTTCTAAAAATGGATTTTCACATTTTAGATGTCCTCATTGGGTATTGATTTGCTTATGATGTAAGAAATTTTTTTATTTTTTATTTACTTTATCTTATGAATGCAAGTTACATATATATACATACACGTAGTATATATTATAGCAATCATTGTTATCATGAAAAGTATCTTTTTTTTTTTTTTTTTTTTTTTGGCTTTGACAAAAAACTTTAACACATCATTCACATACCTGTTACATGAATTAGTGGACTTGGCTTGGTCAGTGAAAATTGATTGAAACGGGGTAGTTAAGTCATTTTATATGTAAGATAACTTTTTAGCCAATAATACAAAATAAATGATACTAAAGTCATTTAACATGTCAAAAGTTGCATGACACCATCAAATAGTGATGTTCAGGTATAAGTAAAAAACAGAGGAACCGTTTGTAGCATATATGCTAGTAATTTTTTTCACAAGGCTTCTCCATTTGACCAAGAAAGTGTCATTGTAATTAATCATTTGACTTAAATATCATGTTTAGATGTCTATTTTGACATTATTTCTTCCCACTTAAGAAAAGGATTAAGTTACAAAAGGTAAAAAACAATGGTCAGAAGTTATACACATTTACATGAATCAAATTCAATATTTTAAACACATTTGAGTCGAGTGATGATAAACATGCATGTTGAATTTCATTACTTTTCGCAAGTGAGTCAATACTTCTTCAATCTAAATTTGATTCATTACCTGCATTTTGATCCTTGCATTTTTGTTGGTGTTGAAATGCAGAGAAGTTTGTCTTGAAGAGATAGATATATATATAGAAGAGATGCAGGAAGTCTGTCCATGCTGCACAACTCTCTTGTGGCAGTTAGAGTGAAGCCAGGCGAGAGCATCGTCGGCTGATCAGTATCTGCTGCATTCACCATTCTAAATTCAATAATGGCCATCGTCGGCTGCTGTTAGGTGTTGCGATTGCTTTCGCTACAATTAATTTGGTATCATATAAGTTTGTGTATCTGAAACTTGTTTACACATAGCATATGTATTAATGGTTTCCTGCATTTTGAATTATATTTGATGTGAGACAATTTAAACATACTTTCATCGTTTCCTAAGACTAATGGTAAGCTAAAATTCTAAAAATTCTATAATCCAAGATTCTTTGGCATTTTAGGAAGATTATAAGATTTGAGAACTGTGACTCACACCGTGACTCATTTTCATTTGTGAATCACGGTTCTCCAAACAGGACATCTTTTCTTGACAGAGGTAGTATAAATTAGAAACCTAGAGGGGACTGAATAAGTTTTACTTACTCTTTTATACAATTTTTGCTTATTTTAAAAGTACTTGAAAACAAATTTTAATTTGTGCAAAAATAACTCCCAAAAATCTAATCCAAAAGGAATCCAAATTAGAATATAATGATAATTTTTATTTTAATTCCAAGGCACTTGGACTGGTCCAGGAAAAATGGACCAGTTCATTTTTGGCAGAAAAATATTATGTGAATTATGTATTGCTTCTCCTGCTAGATTGACCGGTCCAAAAAAGTGGGCCAGTACATTTGTGGCAAAAAGTTTCCACGACCAATTTGCCAGGGAACTTAGACTGGTCCAGAAAAGTTGGACCGGTCCATTTTTGGCAGAGTGTGAAATCTGTGTAATTTCAGACCAACAACTTGGAAACCTTCAATTTCACTCACATTTTTCTTAAGGCAAGTTCTATAAAAAATGTAACTCAAAGTATCCTCACCAAGATACCTTCTCTAATACTCCGTATGATCTTCTTATACGAATAAAAGTTTAACGCATACTTGTTGTACTTATTATTCCTCTTCCGGCATCCACAAAGTAAAATAAAAATTACAATTCGATCGAACAAGTTTTGGTACCAAAATTTATCAATTTACAAATTTATATTTCACATCGATAAACTTTGACCGTAAAATTATACTATTATAATAATGAAATTTAATGGTAAAATTTTAAAATAAATGTAATAAAATTGCTGCACAAAGTATCATGGAAAAAAATGGACTACTGTATCTTCTATAGACGTCAAAAAGTGGTGGGAGCTTCACTGACGAAGCACACGTGTAAAAATGTTTAGCTTTCAACACTTTCTTCTACTAATTATTTATTTATTTTTTTTGCCCCTCATTTCCATAGCCCACGGCAACTTTCTTTCTTTTACTTTTCCAAGTCTTACCAAAAAGAAGAGGCACAAAGTTGAAGAATTACAAAATTATTATTATTATTATTATTATTATTATTTTCAGTAGATTTCTCAACATAAGCCGGTATGCAAAATAAGATTTTTAAGTTTTGGGAAAACAAAGAGGGTAAGATGTTATATCAATAGATTGTTTGAGTAAAACATTTAATAGCATCGATAATACTATAGTCAAGCAACAATTTAAAAAGTTGAAAAGTAGTTAATTTGAGGATAATTAGAAATGTAAAGATTGAAAATATTATTAACCAATATTTAAATTTAATTATTTATTGTTTTGATTCAACAAAAAAATGTTATGTGTATTTGCTTGTCTCCACTGAAGTGATTTTCTGGTTGATAAGTCATGTAGACGATGTGTTTTAGGTTCTAAATGTGTACAAAGGGCTCATTGATAGGACTAGATATGTTGCTATAAAGCGGTTGAATTCGCATTCCAAACAAGGGGCTCATGAGTTTTGGGCTGAGATCGACGCCCTGTCCAAGCTTCAGCACTATCATCTCGTCCCTTTGATTGGCTATTGTGATGATTGTCAAGAGATGATCCTGGTCTATGAGTACATGACCAATGGGACCCTTGCTGACCATCTTCACAAAGCCAGTAGAAATGGCAGTGATAACTCTCCTCTTTCTTGGGAACGACGACTCAGTATTTGTCTTGGTGTTGCACGTGGGTTGGACTTCCTACATACGAGTTGTGGTGACCATAATGGAATCATACATCGTGATGTGAAGAGCTCAAATATTCTGTTGGATGAAAATTGGGTTCCTAAGATTTCTGATTTGGGTTGTCGAAAATGGATACTGGATCGTGCACACTAGGGCTGTAAGTTGGGCTGGCCCAACTCAGTCCAACCCGAACCTAACCTCAACCCGAATCGGGTTGGGTTGGGCCAACCCGAATTGTACTTAATATGGGTTGGGTCATAATCTGGATCGAATATTTTCGGGCGGGTTGAGTCGGGTTGACAGGTTAATTTTTTTTTTTTTTTTTCGAAAATTTATATATATATGTGTATATGATATATATTTAATTATATTATTATTAAATATATATATATTTTTAGGGCAAATCATTTCAGCCTCCCCCAATCGCCTCCATCTCTATTCTCATTCTCTAACTCTAAAATTGCTCTCTCTCTCTCTCTACGCAACTACAAAATCAACAAGAATCAGAAGTTCAAAACCCATATATTTCAATTTATCTATCTGTCTGCTAGAATCAAAACAACATTGTGAAGATCGAGGAGTACAATTTCAGATTCAACTGCTCGTCGTCTTCGTCGCCGTCGTCGGCGATGAATTGCTTCCAATTCTCGGAGACGAAAGCGATTCTTGGAGATGCCCAGAAAGCATATCAGCCACAGTTTGTGAAGATCGAGGAGCACAATTTCTGCATGAATCCCTCTCAGATCAAGTACAATTTAATCACCATGAATCCCTCTCAGATCAAGAACAGAAGAAGAAGAGACTCCCATGGCCATGGCGAGCGACGAAGATACGATGGAGAATTGTTTGGTTCTCCTCTACATCGAAGCTGTGTCGTACTACGGAAAGAGAAAGAGAAAGAGAAAGAAAAATAGGAGAGAGAAATAAATAAATAAATAAATAAATAAAATGGGTTTCGGGTTGAGCCCGAGCCCAACCCGAATGTGTTCGAATTTTGACAAAACCCAACCCGAACATGAACCCGATTTGTGAATATAAGCCTCAATTTCAAAATTTCTAGGCTGGGCTTGGGTTGGGCTGGGTTTGCCCGCCCAAGTTGTAGTCCCAGTGCACACACATTAGCACTAACATTAAAGGCACATTCAGGTATATGGATCCAGAATATTTCATGACTTAAAGAATATCTAAGAGAACAGACGTATATGCGTTTGGTGTGGTGTTGTTCGAAGCGTTGTGTGGGAGAAAGGCTGTGGATTTAACACTCGAGGAGGAGCAACATAGTCTAGCAATATGGGTCCGATAATGCATTCGAAAAGGAACAATTGATCAGCTAGTTGATCCCAGTGTGAAGGAGCAAATCTCACCTCATTGTTTAAGAGGGTTTACGGAAATTGCCAACAAATGCTTGCATGATCAACCAAAAGAAAGGCCTATGATGGCTGAAATAGCGGCGAGACTCCATTTAATTATATTGGAATTGCAAGGGAGGGCTGACTCTTACACAGAGCAAGAGGATATTGATGCTGATGGGGCTTCCAACCAGCGTGTTGAATGGAACATTACATCGGAGGATTCTCCTCCTGTGGATGTAAAAAATGAAAGTAGGGTGTTGGAGAGTATTTCACCTGGAACAATGAAAAATATGAAAGTTGGGAAAAAGAAAGATTATGCTTTAAATCGCGGATGGTGGTTGGGCTCACTTTGGCCATTCCATAGATCTTTGAAGACCAAAGCTTATCCACTGCCAGAAGTACATTGTGGTCGCTTTTCTCCGACACAGGTTCTAGGGCTAAAGATACCGATTGCTGAAATCCGCAATGCAACAAATAATTTCAACACCAAGCTGATGATTGGAGAGGGTGAGTTTGGGAAAGTCTATAAAGGAACTCTTAGGAATGGTATTAAAGTTGCTGTCAAACGAAGACGTTCAGGACGTGCTCAGGATTTTTCAGAATTCCAAACGGAGATCTTGGTATTGTCTAAATTTCGCCATCGCCATCTTGTTTCCTTGATTGGGTACTGTGACGAAGGGTCTGAGATGATACTAGTTTATGAATTCATGGAGAAAGGGAGCTTGAGAGATCACCTATACTATATTAATGAAAGCTCAGGATCTTTATTGTCCTGGAATAGAAGGCATGAAATTTGCATTGGTGTGGCCAAGGGTCTTCATTACCTCCATACTGGTTCAGACGGGGGAATCATTCACCGTGACGTTAAGTCCACAAACATCCTGCTTGATGAAGATTATGTGGCTAAAGTTGGTGATTTCGGTGTTTCGAGATCTTGTGATCTTGATCAAACACATGTCAGCACCGATGTAGCAGGCAGCTTGGTTTATCTTGATCCCAAATATTTTAGACATGAGGAGGCCCGAGATGACATGGGCCAGATATGACTTGCAAACGCGACATCCGGTCCGTACAGATGGGTCAGGCCCATAGAGAGACACTGCCATATGGGCCGAACGCGAATAAGCCCATCAAAGATGACCAGAACTCATGGAGGAACAAGCCTAGATCCAGCAGTCCATCAACATTTGTAAATATCTATAAATAGGAGAAGTAATGGAAAGAATAAGGGAGATATTTTTTGGTTGAAATACAAGAATTCTAAAGAGAGAAAGAGGGAGGGAATTTCTTGTATCTTCAATTGGCGTCGTCTGTGGGAACCATGGAAGATTGGTTGATCAATGATTAATATCGCGTGGATTCAGACCAATTCGGTTGATCGAGACTCGATCTTTGGGAGTTGAATCCAGATCTGAGCAATTGTGACCTACTCTGGAGGAATTTTAGTTCCTGTAGCTTTGGCAGAAGTGGCTTCAGATCTACGCAACAACGAGTTGTTCGATTGTGGCAGGATCTGACGGATTTAGAATTCGGACAATTCAGATCTCGTCAACCGTGAGCATAATTCGGAGAATTCGAAACCAGATCTGAAAAATTCCCACTCACGAAGCTCGGATCTACTCGCGAACTTGAGATTAATGCCTTTACTCCGTTCAGGAATAATGATAGGTGAAAGCTCCAATCCGATGGAGGCTGTCCAGCAAACAAAGCTTGAGGAGTTGATGAACTTGATCGAGGCTCTCAAAAAAGAGAATACAGAATTGAAAGCTGGAATGCAACATCAGCAAATGCCCGCGGTTTCGCGTCCACCTCCGGCCGGAGAAGGAGGTGTTCAATCTAATATCACGCATCAAGGCGAGCAGGACGAGAACAGTCAGTCAGCTCTCCATCGTGATGAAAGAGGGACCCGGGTCTCTGGGGAGAGCCCGTTTGTAATAGCATATGGTACCGAGGCGGTTATACCGGTTGAGCACTTGGTCCCAACTATCAGAAGCTTAGCATGGAGTCGAGATCAGAACGACAAGATGTTTAGATTGAACCTCGATATGATAGACGAAAGGAGGGACGCTGCAGCAATAAGGTTAGCATCATACCAACAAGTATTGGCGAATAGTCACAACAAAAGAGTGAAACACAGAGATTTTGCCCCTGGCGATCTGGTTCTGAAAAGAAAGGTGGGGATAGTCAAAAAAATGATGCCACCCTTGGGAAGGCCCATACAGAATTGCAGAAGTCATAGGCAAGGGAGCATATACGTTAGAAACCATGGCGGGAAGGTTGGTCAGCAAGCCCTGGAATGCCACGTCTCTGAAGAGGTACTACCAATAAAAGCTAAGTTTCGGCTTTATTGGGTGTTGTTTGTTGTCAATCAAGTACGTATGAATGTGCAAATTCCTGAAATTTATAAAAATAACTTTCCTCTTCAATGGGTTGCAAAAAAAAAATAAAAATAAAAATAAAAAGCCAAGTGGCAAGTGGCATTCTAGCCGAGCGCCAGGCACTTAAGCAAGATAAGTGGCAGCTGGCACCATAAGCCGAACGCCAGACACTTGCTAAAAAATGAAAAGCCAAGTGGCAAGTGGCGTTCTAGCCGAGCGCCAGGCACTTAAGCAAGATAAGTGGCAGTTGGCACCATAAGCCGAACGCCAGACACTTGCTAAAAAATGAAAAGCCAAGTGGCAAGTGGCATTCTAGCCGAGCGCCAAGCACTTAAGCAAGATAAGTGGCAACTGGCACCATAAGCCGAACGCCAGACACTTGATAAAAAATGAAAAGCCAAGTGGCAAGTGGCGTTCTAGCCGAGCGCCAGGCACTTAAGCAAGATAAGTGGCAGCTGGCACCATAAGCCGAACGCCAGACACTTCCTAAAAAATGAAAAGCCAAGTGGCAAGTGGCGTTCTAGCCGAGCGCCAAGCACTTAAGCAAGATAAGAGGCAGCTGGCACCATAAGCCGAACGCCAGACACTTGCTAAAAAATGAAAAGCCAAGTGGCAAATGGCATTCTAGCCGAGCGCCAGGCACTTAAGCAAGATAAGTGGCAGCTGGCACCATAAGCCGAACGCCAGACACTTGCTAAAAAATGAAAAGCCAAGTGGCAAGTGGCATTCTAGCCGAGCGCCAGGCACTTAAGCAAGATAAGTGGCAGCTGGCACCATAAGCCGAACGCCAGACACTTGCTAAAAAATGAATGCCAAGTGGCAAGTGGCATTCTAGCCGAGCGCCAGGCACTTAAGCAAGATAAGTGACAGCTGGCACCATAAGCCGAACGCCAGACACTTCCTAAAAAATGAAAGCCAAGTGGCAAGTGGCATTCTAGCCGAGCGCCAGGCACTTAAGTAAGATAAGTGGCAGCTTGCACCATAAGCCGAACGCCAGACACTTGCTAAAAAATGAAAAGCCAAGTGGCAAGTGGCATTCTAGCCGAGCGCCAGGCACTTGAGCACGATAAGTGGCAGCTGGCATCGCAAGCCGAACGCCAAGCACTTGCCATAAACAAGCACACGACAAAGTTAATATAAAAAAAAAAGAAGAGAAAAGGTATATATATATTGAAAATGGGTTTGAACAGAGCGCAACACAAAGGAAAAAGAGAAAAAGAGTTCTGTCATCTCATTCATAATAAGCATTGGGTTTACAAAAAATGAAATATTCAAGTCACATTGTTACAAAAAAGTATGGAATCGAAGAGTCCGGAGGAGTCCTAGCTAGCTGCCTCAGTACCGACAGCCTCCTGGTTGTGCCGACCCGCCTCCTCGGTCCCATCAGCCATCTCACCCTCACGAGGTGGGGAATCAAGATGAATAACAGAGTCATTCTGCTGGGGGCCAACGTCAGCAGTGGCTATGGGAGGTACCACAGTTGACGATTGAGGAGCGGTTAGAGGCAGAGCGGTAGGAGGAGCTGTAGTGATCCTAGAGGAAGCAATGTCCTGGCACTCATCAAATATGTGCTCCGCTTCGGTGGGTTCTGGGTCAACATAGACCCCCAGAGGGTCAATCCCTAAATCTTTATCGACCTCATCTGGAGTTGAGCTGGTCTGTCCCTTATCCGGAACTCGGTCGGAGAAACCTTCTCGGAATCCTTGAGCATATCTAAGAGCGCCGACCCTTGAGAACCGAGCATAAAGAGCCAGCATCCCACCGTTCACTCTGCTGATGGTATCAATCAGAGAAGTACGCTCATCCAGAGCTCTCTTCTCAAAAGCCATCCGAGCAGACTGTTCATCAGCCAGAAGGCGCTGGAGCTCTGCCTTTTCGTCTCTGATTGAATCACGCTCAGTCTGCCAGACACTCTTTTCAAGCTGAAGGGCATCCTTCTCATCTTGAAGTGAGTCGTTTTCTTTCTTCAAGACATCTCTTTCTTGTTCAGTTTTTTCAAGCCGAGCCAATACCTCGGTATTCTTGCTGGCGAGAAGGTCGTTTTCCTTATTGGCCATCTCCAGGCTATCAGAAAACTTACGAGCCCTGGCGTTCCCCATTTCAACCTGCTTCTGCATAGCCATCATTCCGAACAAAGTCTGCATAGATATACATTAATAATGGTTAAACCGATAGTCTGGTTGGACGAAGGCAAGACCAAATAATATGAGAGGATTCATGAGTTGGAAAATAAAAGTCACCTCCATGGCAGATTGGGGAAAGCGGCTGAACACATCCTTCTGGGATAGACCTTTCGCCGCCTCAAGGTCTTTCGGAGTCCACATGCTCCTATAATACGCCATGGCGGTCTGGCCATCCTTTAGCATGGTCTCGTTCGGCTTCACGAACGTCCCATCCGTTCGGGTGTACCGAGGAGCCCATGGTGGTAAAGTGGGAAGAGAAGGAGAGGCTGAAGCAGAAGCAGAGGCACCAGCTGCAACAGGCCCGGAGGGGGCTGTAATGTCTGTAACTTAAAAAGGCAAAAGAAAAAGATAAAAGAAAAAAAAAGAAAAATGTTTGGGACCCACAAGTTTAAGTGGTCATAAGACCACGTTTTTTTTTTCCTTTTTTTTTTGTTCTCTATCTTCTGTCTCGTAGCTCTCTGCCTCTTTGTATTTCTTTTTTTCTTTTTCTTTTGCAAGCTTTCACTCTTGATTTCTCCCTCATCTCTTATCGGATTAAGGTGCTGTTTGAGGCAAAACGAAGCCCACGACGAGCTCTACGCATCCATACAAACAATTCCAGATTTGGTGCCCTTCTTGGAGTTCGAAATTCAAGACCCATTTTAAGGGTTTTGTGCAAATTTGAGGTAGGGACACCTTAATCCACTACCTTCTTGTTCCATTATGAGTTATAATCATTTGTTATGCCAAGCATGCTTAATTAGAAGTTAATTGTATCAATGATTATTTTAAATGTTGTCTAGAGAAATTCATGTATTTGAATGTGAGTTGTTTTATGTGTAAAACATGCTTAAATGTATTTTGATGTATCCTAATGTGTTAATAATTACTTGGGAGATGTTGAACATGTTGAATGTTTAATTTTATGGTGTATAATTTTAAATGCCATGACATTGAATGTATGGAACATAGATACATGCACATACCATTGGGTTTGCATGAAATGGGAGAAATTGTTCTTGAAATAAATATGGGGAATTTCAGGGAAGTGTTTTTGATGAAATGGTTTTTTACGAAACCCGGTCGCTGCGGGGTTACCAACGGGCCGGAGGTTAATATAGCCTAGAGGGGACTAGGGAGTCGCCCTAGCGTGGTTGAGCTAGCTGGGCCCCATAATGACGCCGCGGGGTTACCAAGGGTCAGGGACACTAGCCAATCCTCCTCTCGTGTTGCGGCGGGGCTACCAAAGGGCGGGCTGTATTCACAGTTTGGAAATGATGTTTTGGATTATGAAAATGGGGAGCGACACTAGCATGCATTGCATCTCATACCATTGTATTGGATATACTTGACATTGAATCGTTATGCTGTATTATTCCCCGACATTGTATGATCCCCATTTCCCATTGGCCTATACTTTGTTTGGATTCACAAGGACACAAGATGTGTGTCTTAAGTGTCACCTGCTGAA